TGACGCTATAAAAAGACATCTTTGTTTTTTGCAGACAATGATTTAAAGTGGAAATCACAGAGACAGTTTCCTTCATTTTTAGCATTTTGTTTTTCTCTTTGTCGATATAGATCAGATGCATCTGTCCCTCATGTGATAGTGAAACCATGTGGCTTGTGCTGTGATGTCTTGTTCAAATTTTGAGTTTTTGTGTTTCTAGCTTCAAAACTGTGAGCAAAAGAGCAAACCTATAGGTAGAAACAAAAGGTTTAAGAAAAAACACTAGGTGATATGCGTCATGTAAAGCATTTTGGTTTGCAAATCAGTAAACGATTATTTTGTCGCCCCTGTGTATGTGTGGGTCCCTGTGCAGGTGCTGTAGGACACAGAAACTATATGGAGATTAGCTCATTAAAATGTTCCTCCACTATTGTTCAAAGCAGTTAAACACAAAATGTTTCTCAAAAGATATAAAATGAAGTGCCACTCAACAAATTCCCACCTACTCCAAGGCTTCAGTATTTTTAAACCATCTTCTGTAACCAAAATGATAACTCCAGTAATCTAACAAAAGCTGCAACCTCATCGTAGCTCCAGTGATATGATAAATCTCAACATGCCAGTTAAAACCTTCCTGAAACCACATAAATGTTTGTCCATTGCATTGTTGTGGTTGCATCAGGTGAGCGTCTGCCTTGTCTCCAACACCACTGCAGGGATGATGATTATTACAGCCACGTCAGGCTCTTCATCAAATGAGCAAGCTACAGAACCAGTAGATTATTCAACATGTCAATCACTATAACATCACAGAGCTCATTGGTTTAAAATGAGGGAAAAGTGACATTTAGTCAAAATCCAATGTTCCCATGAGAATCATGAACCCTACGTTCTGATTAGAACTTAATTACCTCATGAGAAACAGACTCATGTTTTAATTGATGGCATTGATCTTGTTAGAGAAATAGTTGGACAAATTAGTCAAATAATCTCTTTCAAGCAGCATTAATACACTCATCCCCTGTACATTTAATTGAATATAGATCTATTGCATGTTGAACTACGAGCGATTTTTAACGTCTCCCAGGTGCCACATAGGTTCAGTTATTCACTCAAACATCAAATCTTTCTGTTGGGTGTGTGTGTGTTGGGTGTGTGTGTGCGTGTGTGTGTGTCTCTGTGTGTGTGTATTGACCATTCAAGCGATTAACATCAGGTGTGTCAGCACTCTAAGTCTGATGGATACGACACATTAACCCCTCTCCAATGTCTGTGTCTGTGTGTGTGTGTGTGAGAGAGAGACACAAGGGGACAGAGTATTTCACGCTGGACTCTCCCATCACCTGAGGTCAGCACTGTTACTGACAAAGTAAGAAAAATGTGTGTGTGTGTGTGTGTGTGTGTGTGTGTGTGTGTGTGTGTGAGAGTGTGAGTGTGTGTGTGTGTGTGTGTGTGTGTGTGTGTGTGAGAGAGTGTGTGTGTGTGTGTGTGTGTGTGTGTGTGTGTGTGTGAGAGAGTGTGAGTGTGAGTGTGAACAGCCATAATGACAGTGGCTGGTCTAGACGAGGAGCTGAGAGCAGCAGGTTCAGGAGCTCATTTTGCCTTCAACATCACATTCTAATTAAAAAAGACAAAACAAGTAAACAGTAAATGTGACCTGTGATGTTATAACATTGATTTCCTTAAACCTAGTGCATGCCCTAGTGGTGATGATCTGTTTTGAAATATATTATGGATTTTAACACAGACAGTGAGCTGTGATTGAATGTATGATATTGGGTGAAATATTTTACAGTACTTATCATACACTGGCATTTAAATTTGTATCCAGCACTATGATTCATTACCCTCAAATTAATCAGTGACCTCCCGTTAAGAGATAAAGGGATGTAGAATATCACTCCCCTATTATGTCCAATAAATAACCAAAGGTGTTCACCTCAATCAATCACTTGTTTCACTTGAATAATAAATTAAACCAAACATTTAACAGTGCGTGAGTATTTCAGTGTGTGTGTGTGTGTGTGTGTGTGTGTGTCTTTAACAGTTCAAAACATAACTGACAAAATATATTTGTACAAAAACCAAAAGAGCTCAAGTACCAGAGGTATCCATGGGCCCTGGACTGGAAGATAGTGAAGGTGACTCACACGGCCACACATCGCACTCCACACTCTGCCTGTCTCTGCCAGCCCATCATCCACTCACTTCCACTCCATGAGGCAGTGAAACAGACACCTCTCCAAGTCCCTAAGGACCCCAGAGACAGAGGACAGGAGGGAGAAGCTGAGCGTGGATGATGGGACACTCTATTTAAACTGCGCACACGTACACACACACACACACACACACACACACACACACACTTCCTTCTTAGCTCCATCTCCCCCTTGTTCCTATCTGTCTTCTTCCATGCATCATTCACCATCCCTCTCCGCTTGCCTCCTTCATTGCGATCCTTCTATTTTTGTTTTTCTCCCTCCACCACACCAGTCACCAAGATTAGTTTATTTGTAAAGAAACAAAGCAACCTCAGGCGAGGCTTTTATGAAAAAATACACATCTCATCAACATCAATCAAAAGTGCAGCAGTGACAGCAAAGAGCACCTCATCCGCTAATTGAGATCGCGTACCCATCACACTATTTGCCTAAAGGGAATGGCAAACTCGAATTGTCTGCTAAACATCAGCAAGTGATTGTTCTGCATGCGGAAAGCTGAATCTATCTCCTCATTCTCTTCCCTTTAATCTCCTCGGCCATTAAACGTCATCATATCTATGCATTTTGTCTTTCAGTAAGGTAATGCGAGGCTGTAACAAATACACTGGCCTAAATTAGCTTCTCATTTTATCTAGGTAATTTTTTAAGAAATAAGTAGGAGATATTTGCTGATAAAAATGTTTAAGAAACCCCCAAATGTTGTAGTTATGGTGAAATAACGCAGTGGTGAAGCCTCTTACATGCCGATTTGAGGAGGATTCCAAGCAAAATAACGATTCTAAAGATTGAACAAATGCAGCCAAAACCAAAAGAAAGGATCAGATGCAGGCAAACAATCAAAATTATCCTAAATGCTGCAAAAACAAGGTTTAGTCAATTGTTTGCAGAGAAAATAACTATCATTTTTGTGGAGCTTTGGTTCTCTGAAGACAGATTTGGAGTCTGTATGTGTTGAAGTGTTATGGGTAATGGAAAGCAGTGCAGATGAGCTGGAGTACACGCCTCCCAAATCTCCACAAGGCATCATGGGGACTGAGCTGAATGGTTAATCCAGCTTTTGTTGGGAGGTTGGTGCTGAAAAGGCAAAGAAACAAAACCTCATGTAAATGTTACTCCTAATTTCATAATCATGTCCTTCATGCCAGAGAGAGCAAAAGCCCATCAATGACTATAAAGGCGTTTGTGAGATTTAAGGCCATTATAAATCAGTGTAGATGTCAGGGTGTTCAGAAAAAGTTCAGCCTACTTTGTATTTTCTAAAATTCAAAGTGAATTAAGTGTCTGGATTGAGTAACATCAAACCATTGTTCTCTTTCTAAATTATAGAGCACTGCATGGTCAGGTCGCTGAGTGCATCTCTGATGATCTGACCTGTTTCTTCCTCTTGAGGAAGAAAATACACATTTGAGGTAGTAAGCCCCCTCCTCTCATGGTGAATACATAGTTGGTTCATCCAGATCGGTGTGGGAGACTGCACCCCCTTCTGTTTTCATGAATACATGGCCCCTATTCTTCCCATTCCCCCTTCTTGCTTACATCCTCCACAGCTTACAAAACCGCCTTATCCTGAAACCCTTCCTGCCTTTTGCTTGTAATACAAATTTGGTGTAGAAAGCCCTGTTCTGTGCAACAGGCTCACCCTATTCCACAACACCTTGAGACTGGACTCTGGTTGAATATTCCTCTCTATCACTTCAGTCACCTGACCAGGACTTACTGGTTGTCCCTCGCACTCTGGAACACACTTCCTTTCTGTCAAAAACTTTAATAAGCAGCCAAAAGTCATGTATTTAAACTTGCCTTTGTCTAGTCTTCTATTGTCTGGTTTTCCAAATGTATCTTAATATTTTATCGTTTGGTTATCGTGCATTTTAAACGTTACTTACAGAGCTATGGTTGAGGAGGCCTGGGAGAGACTTCGACCTCTGCTCTGGAAACACTGAATACCTCAGTTAATACGCTACTCACAGGCCATTTGTTTTTCAACTGTTTTATTCTTGTTGTATTTCCCTACTGCAAGCCTACTCTCAGCAGCTATAAACCCCACTGGTAATTAATGCTGGCCATTTTTATTGATTTTCTCATTGTTGGTTTATCGTATTTAATGCACCTTGTAACTCTGATTTAGGAAGTGTCTCAATAATAAAGTTTTATTTTATGGTCCGTCTGATTGGCATCCAATCAGGACTTAGAAATAAAAAGCAGATATTCAAACAGTACCGGTAGAACTTTACTATTGTCACCTGTGTGTGAGAATACAGAACCAAATTACAGACCACTAACAGTTTTATTGTGTTTCCATTTATCACGTTGATGTTGTATTGGTTTAATGTGGTTTGGGATTACAGGTTCACAAAGTTACTGCACAAAGTTAAACACTAATATTTATTTCTTAGACTTTAAGTCTCAGCACCAAAATTATGTAGAAGTAACATTTTCTGAATGTTGATACATTAAATTTGTTTAGTGACTGAGTATAAGAAGAGTATTTAAAAAAAGCAGATATAAGTAGTCAGCATGCAGAGCAGCACACTACAAGTTGTGTTATAAAGAGAAAACTATCACACACACACACACACAGTCTAGTCCAGACCAGGAATTAGACAGACTGATTGGTGAGTGACAACTGAAATTGAATTTCTCTGTAGTGAAAGCCCCATAGGACTCGGGGAGGACACACACACACACACAGTAATGTGGGTAAAGACACACACGAGCATGAAAAAGCCCACACACTCCAACACACACATCAGCATGCACAATTGATGAATAATTTCTGTCACTCACAAAAACACATACACGTATTTCCTCTTTCAGTCTCCCTGTCACTCTCTCTCTCACACACTCTTTTCCCCACATATCCCTCCTCTCCAATTTGCTGCCAAAGCTGTCTCTTCAAAAGCAAATCTCTTTTTCTCTCCACACCATCACAATGAGAATCGCATCTGGCAACTGCAAAACAAAAAGTTTGAGAAGGGCCGTCATTATGCTGCAGCCATGATGTGAATGGTGGCGACTGAAATGACAGTCATGGAGCTGATGAAGAGGCAACGCCCTATAGTCTGATTTGAAATGAGAAGTGATATAGAAAGGAGGCACACATCCACATTGTATGTATTGTAATATCCCCCTGCCTTTGAGTCACACTGATAACAATGATAAGCGTCATCATTTTCAGGGATGCAACTGGAAAGAGATTGGAAGCAGCTGGATGTTTCTGATGGAAACACGTGTTTCAGAGGTGTGAAGGTGCAAAGCAGCAACGGGCAGCACAAGAAGCATCACGTGTCACTTACACTTTCATTGATAGCGACTTGGCCTCACATCCAGACACTGAAGGATGGAGCTGCGATATAACCACTGCAGGTGAAGCCTGCTCAGCTTTCACTTTTTTTTCACTCGACAATTAACAAATGCAAATCTAACCATTATAATTCTGTTCCATCCCAGATTTGACGGATTGATTATGGACACTTTATCAGTGGACAGTAATCCAAAACAGCAAAACTTATACAACACCATTCTGGTGAACTTTTCACAATCTTCCACTGTTTTATTTTCCAGGTCGTTTTTCCAGCTTAATACAGACAAACAAAACAGTATCAGTCTTTGAAATGCTAATACAGCCGCTATGTGACATTTTTGATGAAGGTTCTACTTAATATTACCGTGTGTGTGTGTGTGTTTATGTATGGAGACTGTACGTTCCTTTAACAAGCACAGCAGCCAATGTTGGGTCACATATTCCTTTGGGATGTCAACACATGTTTGTTGTGATGAATTCAAGCTTAAATGACCACTTGCATCCTTTTCTCACATATGGGGCAGGTATAACGGTGTTTTATCCATTGCATTAGCCACTGTTTCAATTCACAGTGGGAACTTGTAATAAACAGATTTTGTTTCTCTTCAAAAAAGGACTATGAATTTCCTACAAACACTGATTTTAGACTATTTCTTCCTCTCAAAGTAGCGGAGGAAGAGGAGAAAACAAATGTGCATGTTCACACACTACATTTAAAACACATTCAAACACAAATTATACCGCTCTTTTTAACATTCACTACCTGTATTCTTCAACTAATAATCCCCATCCCGCGTCCCTGCACCCATCCTACTGTTAGGACCAGGTTTCTGCCTCCTGTTTCTGCCTCAGTGGTGTTCTCCCAGTGTTTCTTGTCCATCTCTATCCCTGTGTGTGTCTACCTGGAGCTGGGTTGGACTGCCTGTGAGCTGAGCTTCATTTCCTCATCAACTCCACCTCTCCTCAGTCTATAAAACCCCAGCTCATCTCTCCTGCCTTCGTCAGATTGTCCGTCCACCAGTGTTCACATATCGGCTTCGTGATTTCAACGTGTATCTTCTAGTGAGATGAACTTTATCCATTGAACCAGCTCCTCAGCGTCATCGTGTTTCTTTCAGCCTCCTCTGCTCCGACCTCAGCCTACCAGCTCCACTCTGATCACCACCAGCCTTTCTTCCTTCTGGACTCCACTGCCTGCCCCACTCCACTCCAGCTCCAACCAATTGAGCAATAAACATTTTTACAACCATCTGTCTACTGTGTATTATAACACCTACAAACCTCCATAGCAATATAATCAGTCTTTCTATATCCATATGTTTTATCCCCACCCCGCTTTTTCACTCCGACTATCACTACTGTTTGGCACTGGACTAACCGCTGAAGTGACACTGGAGCAGGATAACACACAGGATGTCAGTCTGCACAATTGTTCTTTCAAGATCAGTCTGACAGTGGACAGAAAACAAGGCCCAAGAGAGGTCAAGTGCATTTTTAATGTGTTTTTCAGCATCACACCTTTTCATCATCCCACAAGTTAATTTTCACTCCTGCAGTTTTTTACTCATGTCATTCCTACACTCCTACACTAATTCAATTGCCACTAAAATGGACATATATGTTTCTATGCAACTTTTTTTATCATGAGCAAATGTACATTTTGGGGGAAATGCAATGCTAATCTGAAACAATGTATTTTTAAAACATGAAATGAGGCTCTCCCACATCAGTCTCTGACCTCCTATAGATTAAAGCACTACATTCTATTTATCTATCAACTCATTCTTCTCTCATTTATATAAGTTCAGCAATGTTTAAGTAGCTATGATGTTTGCTCCCCGGACTCGTGTTTATAAATGGTTCCCATAGTCCACCCCAAATTACTCCAAACAGCTTTGTATGTATGCTGCACCTCATGCCTTGGACTTTCTGCAACTTGATTTGAAATAGTGGCTACTCTTCTGGTGTATCTACATTGATATTGGGGTCTTTTGAGAAACCTTGAGTTTCAGAATTCAACATAGCACTGCATTATATTTTTTTACATAGGTACAGTTATGTTACATGAAGATATTTAATTCAAAAATGTATTTTCTCTTATTCACACTGTGAATCCAGTGTTTTCCATTAATCACCTCGCCTGTGGCAGCCTGCATCCGTTTCCCAGAGAGAATCTGATTCTGTGCGACACACTGCGATATTAACTTCACGTGCCCTGTCTCACTTTGAAAAGGTTCAAATGTAATGGGATGCCTGCCTACTTTATGTTTCATGGGCAGGTGTGTCATGCTAGCTTGTGAAAGATCCGGAGATGCTCAGACTGAGGTTGAGTTTTTCAGGTAAGTAAGCAGCGACATTAAAAGTGGAGGGAATAATAATGAGGCTTGGAAAAAAATCGATAAAAATCTCTCCATGACCTGGTACACAGAGGAGCATGTCATTCTTCATGAGCAGAACATGATTTGCATGGTGAAGAAAAATAAGTATACTCTAAAGAAGGTTATTTTCTTTTCAATGAGCAGAAGAATCTTAATGTCCATAACCTCAGAGGATCCACCTCAAGATGAAAACACCAGGTACAACCTCAAAAGCAGAAAGGCCGGGCTGCAGTTCACAAAAAAACTAAAAGAGGCCAGCAGAAATGTGGACTTATGTTAGATAAATCTGGCTTTATCAACATGACACAAACAGGAAAGTGTGGATCGTCAAACACGGAAGTGGTTCTGTTACGGCAGCTGTGATTTTTTTTTAATGCTGCTTGTCTGTATCCATATATGACCGATCATGACCAGAACACACTGATTTTAAAAAAGAGACTAAAAATGATTTAAATATATAAATAACACTGACATCCAGTCCCTTCCATTACACCACTCCACATTTTATTAATGAAGATAAGGGACCAATGCAGACGAGCTGGATTTGGATATTCTGTTTTGGAGATAAAATCACTCATTGTTGTATCAAGGTTATAAATCAATGCATGATCAAATCTCTACTTTCAATTTCTTCTATATATGCCATATTTGATGGTGATTGGTAGGATCTATGTCTATAATTTAAATGACTTAGAGACATAACTCACCAAATAAAAGACAAAAGAACAGCAAATCAGACCGATTACTGTATTATCACAGTCAACAGGCCCAATAACATATTCACTTAACAAAGGACAACATAAACAAATACCTAAACTTAATGAATAAATAGATAAACCAATATCTTCCATTAATTTCCTTAGGTTATTAAGATTTTATATTTGCAAAATTTGTACATTTGTATAAATTGTATGAGTTTTCCTTTATATTGCTCCAAGTATCACACTCACATTTATAATAATCAAAGCAGCTTCTCTACTTAACTTCTGTTCATGCATTTTACACTTTATTTCCTTCCTTTATAACTCCTCCTGCCTCTTGATCTCTCTTACAGTCTCTGTTTTTCACACACCGGTACATAGCCTATAAAATATCCTCTCCTCTTTTATACTTAATGCTGGCTGCCTTCCCCCGGGCATATTCTACAGCAACTCCCCCCACCTCCCCTTTTCTTTTTTTTTCCTCCCCCATTTTCTGAAGTTGCTCACTGAAACATACGCCGTGATGTGAAGAGTCTTTACCAGAGGTTTGCAGAGGTCAAATCCTGCTTCATTTGCATATATACTATCACAGTGTAGTTTCTTGAGCCCAGGGGCATTATGGGATATTTGATATATGGATGCTGTAACCCGTGGATGACATGCTCAGAGAGACCGACTTAAAAAGACACAGACAAAGACATACAGAGGCAACTAGAGATACATCAAAACAATAATTTTCTCTTTTGCCCTAAAAGTGCTGATCTTATTATTCTGTGTGTTCAGGATCTTTCCAGATTTAAACAAATGTTTATGTATAATGTTTCACTGCTGCTTCTTTTCCCCAATCAGTCAAGTGAAATGTATTTATTTGGCACAAAACCATTGTGCCTTGAAAGTGGTTTCCAAAAGGTGCTTACAAAGCAAAGCAGCACAGTCTGGACATCAACAGCAATAACAAAATGGAATGAAAAAATGCATTAAAATCACAAAATATGAGCAGTAAAAGATAAGTTAGAAATGAAGCAAGAACCCAAACAAGTTTTCAGCTTCATCAAAAAGTCAATGAATAAAAACAGGTTTTGAGATGAGTTGTGAATACTTGAACTGATTCTGCTGATTTCAGTGTTTCACAGAGGGGTAAAGCAGGTCAGTGCAGTCGTCCTTCAACAATTTGTTTTAACTGAGACCTTCAAACCAAACTGACCTTCCCTTCCTAAAGGAACACAATCTGTACAATATTTAATGGTTAAAGGTCCAGTGGTGAGTGGTGAAGTTTCATGTTACAGCTGAATACACCTCACCTCACCCTCCTCTTCCAAACATGAAAGATAACCTGTGGTACACTTGACTTAAAAACACAACAGATGTTTAGTTTGTCCGTTCAAGGCTAATGTAAAAAAACATGGTGGCCTCCGTAGAGAGGACTCGCTTCCGATGTAAATATAAAGACAACAATGTGTACAATTTAGATGATTACATAGTAGTGAAAACATCACTAGGATTATTTTATATTCAGTTTCTGCCAGTAGATCTATTTCACCTAAATCTTACAAACTGGACCTTTAAGAATTAATCATATCAGATCTTTGTGACCTACCACTGTTTCTACAGCTGAAGTTAAGGTTTGGTTAAATTGAAACTAAAGTTGCGCTGAAACAACTTTCAGTCAAAATAACAATTTAGTTATGATTAGATGAGAATCAGAGTCATTATGAAATAAAAATTGTGACTGGTAGCTACATGTCACATGAGATGACTATTGGGATGGACGGTATAAACAATATATAATACAACACATTGGGGCTCAGCAGTCAGTAAGATGGGACTGGTCTATTGGAAGGATCTGATGGTCTAGAAAACAACAAGCCTGCACAGCTTTGTGTGGAAGATAAAGCCACTTCTGAACAGATATACTGGCATTGAGAAGAGCCCACATTATGCTAGCTGTGTTTGTTTACACTGAACCAGACTGAGTTTGCACAGTGGAATCAGAGCCGTGACGTGAAACACAGTGTCACAGTCTACCCCCCCACGCTGCCCTGCCTTTTACACAGACACTCATCTGAATCTGTGACTTCATCTGCTGGCTACTTAACAACAGCACAACACCCACATTCCATGTTTAGCTCTTTTATACAGAACAACAAAGCGGAATAATGGTCCAACATTGTCATGATACTCCATGAGATCCATTTAAGGCCAAACCGCTGAACTCTAGTTCACACATCCAATGGTGTTCCTCGGTTAAATGTCAAAATAAATCACATTAAGCAGCTGAACAAAAGACAAAGTCCTTAATCAAGGCCACTGAAGACCAACATTGGAGACACAGAATCCTCAGCAGCAGGAATAATGTCCAACATCCTCTTATTGAACAAAGACTTCAGGGGTAAACTCAGTTGGTAATTCATTAATTTGGACTCAAAATATAATACACATAATTGTTTGTTTGTTTTAGGTCAGCAATTAAAATTCTAATATTGACACACACGCACATGCAGAGAGGGACATGGTCTTTACTTGCACAAGAGGCTGCAACTACCACATGGAATAGTAATGTGTCATCGATTCACCTCACACACGTACACAAACCCTCACATCACTGGCATTTTGATGACACACACATACACAGAGACACACACGCGCCTCTTACCGGAGTGAAGTTCATGACTTTGAGGATCCAGATGGTCAGCGCAAGGTTGACGATCATGGTGACGAGGAGGAGGAGGATGAAGAAGTACAAGCATCTCTTCCTCCAGCCATAGATCCCCACTGCTGGGTAAACCTGGGCACCGCACATTGACGCCCCCCGTTGGTGGAGCGGGTTGGGCTGCGCTGCAAGGATGTACTGCTCCTGGGTCATCTGAAAGACAGAAATATGGCGAACATACGTCAGGCTGGCTCATATTTTGAAGATCTTAGATGTTGAAATTAATTTTGATGAATTTTATTTTCATAACAGTGTGAAGTCATTTGAGGGAAAACTGAAAACTATATTTTGTGAGTTAAGTGTCACTCAACTGACTCTTGTTAATGACTCATACCCATTAATTTAGAATACTTCTTTCCTTCCTTCTTACTTTTTTCAGACGATGAGTTTCTCGTTTTGAACAGAAACTGTTTGTTCAAGTCTGCACAGACGCTTGACAAGCATTAAGGGAAAGATTACAGAAAGAAAGGAAGAGGAAGCCGACTGTCTGCAGCGCAGACAAAAATAAAGCAGAGAGAGGAGTGGATAAACTTTTGTGGGTTTTGGTCGTGGTGGAGGGAAGAATGGAAACTGTACTTAACAGTTGAAGATTAAGCAGAACATGATAGGGGAGCAGACAAAGCATGAGAGATTGAAGGTGCGGAAAGGTGACAGAGCAGGGTTGAGAGTGGAAAAAAAAATAGAGGTGGAGCGGTGAAGTGGAGATATAGCACAGGCATCAAGTAGTGAGCGATAGAGAGGCAGGAGAGAGGGGGGGGGGGCAGATAAGACAGCAGAGGAGGACAGAGTCCATTAGTTGTAGTGCAGCAGGAGGAGTCATTGGTGGCTAGAGATATGGACACTGGCTGCAAGGCACTACTATCTCTTTGATCTCCTCCTCTAACTCTCTCACACTCTCTTTACCTTTCTCTCTCCACCTCAAACTATCGCTCTCTCTCCCTAATTCACTTCCTATCACTCCCTCTCTTTTTATCAGTCTCTCTCACACACATAATGTCTTTACTTGCTGAGGCTGCATGACCTTAACACCTCAGCGACTGTTGATTTTCTTTTTCCACCCTGCAATACTTTCTCTCCATATACTCGCACATGATGATACCAACAAGGCTTGATGGCAAACAAAAATGCTGACTCCTGCCTCGCCCGCAGGAAAAATAATAATAAAGGAAATGCAGACTTGGCCTGTGTAAGATTTGTTGGGTTTTCAGTGGAAGAATCTCAGTAACAAATATCAACTTTTTTGTCTTCGTCTCCAGCAAAGTTCCACTGAGCCACTGTTGTTATGACAATGTACATCCACGTTTAAACGAGCATGTTTGCTCATGAGTGGTACACAGTATCACCTCACTACAACTACTGAAGATGTCCCCCTTATTACCACAAGTATATATTTTTCCAATAAACTGTTATAGGCAAACCATGGTTTACCTATCCTGCCCCCATTCCCAATAAACAAGGGAAGCAGCAGACAGCACACGGCACACACAGAGGATCAGCTGTCACACACTGCAAACACAAGGCCCAACAGTCCCTTTACGAAAACACATTTAAATTCACTAGATCCAATCTTTTTTGTAGATCTGCACCAAAATGCACACAGTCATAGTTAGCAGCCCCCTAAACATACCTGAGTATATCCATCAATATTGACTGATTGTAGTGAAATCAATGAAAATGTTGAATAGTTACAACGTTAAAGAAACTAAAACAAAAATCCTGGATCCACCTTCTCATCCAGAGCTGTAATGGGTTCTTTTCCGACCCACACCACATCCTACCACCAATTAATATCATGGAAATCTTTCCAGTAGTTTTTGCGTAATCCTGCTAACGAACCCAAACGAAAACATTACCTTGGAGGTAATAATCTGCCAAAAACTATAACCTCGCTCCAACAATACCAGTCTTACCAGTCCCACAAAGTAAAGGTGTGTTACACAGTCTTACACAGTTGTGTGTTTTCCTTTACACCACAGTTTTCCATCTGAATTAACAAAGAGACTGGGTGATTGAGCTGAGATAGAACACAACAAATCCATGTGGAAATACACCTGAGATGCAGTGAGGAGGCAACCAAGCAAAAATATCTCCAGCGGTGCACAGGAATACAATTGGCTGCAATAACTATGAAGTGTGAATTCACTGAATCTGTGTGTGGAGCAGTTATTGAAAGTTTGAGCCCAGAAGTTGGATTAAAGTAAATGGATAACAGAGGAAGTACTGGATTTTGTATCAGATTTAAAGGAGATGATCAAAAGAAGATACACATTGCAATCTGTTTTGGACAGAGGAAAGCCAAAGCTGTGTTTAATGTGCATGCAATATCCGCAGATATCATTTTTTGTCTAAATGTAATCCAACTCATTTATATCTTGGCAGAGTCTGGGTATGAGACAGATTTAAACATCCAAGAGTAAAGAGGTCTTAATGTTTGTCAAGTGGGTGAAAGTAATATTGTTTTTTTTTTGCCTTTTCACATACTTTATGTGCTCCACGTTTTTTTGGGTGCATCTGTTCCATCTGTGCAGATACAATGCATTTAAATCAATAGCAGGGTATTGCTGTGAAATAGGGCAATGGAATGGGCTGCTGATCATTTTATCTCAGTATTCAGTTTCCACTTTGAATCAATAGCAGGGTGTGTTGTGAGTTTTTTCTGTGGTGCCAGCAAATGCTTATCATTTTCTTCCTGCATGTGTCAACACTGGGAATCAATAGATGCACACGCATATATGTGTGTGTGTGTGTGTGTGTGTGTGTGTGTGTGTGTGTGTGTGTTAGTGTTCTCAAAAGCATTTGATTCAGCCATTTAACCAACGTAACACATTAAATCCAAATGTATTTCTTCTTCGTTTTGATGTTGTTTGATTCAGCTTCACTTCTGGATTGTGTGCAACCAGTTTTGTGACTCAATCATTGTCTTGCATGTGTATCTGTGATTTGTGTCACATTTCTCAGAGTCATGCCTGGTTATCAATCCAACTCAGCACATCAATGAAATATTATTTTCTCCTCCCCAATAATCCACCAATTTTATAAATCATTTGTCAAGTTTTCTCACACAGTGTTTCACCACAGAAAATCCCCTCCTCCTTCCCCTTCCCACCCTTTTCTTGCATTTCACCGTCTCCTGACTCTTCCCACTCTTCACCATTTTCCAAATGTTTCACTTCTTAAAATGATTTGTTTTCCTATTTTCTCTTATTTCAAATCCAAAGCCTCTTCCTCACCCACCTCCACACTCCTCTTCCATTCTTTTTCCTCCTGTCTTCTCAACTCACTTCATCACTCTCTTCCTTCCCTCTTCTTTGTTGTCAATCTATTTGTTCTCCCCCTTGTCCTCCCTCCTTTCTTCTGTCCGACACTCATCCCTCCCTCCCTCTCTCTTCCAGTGCATATCTTAGATTGAACTGACTACAGAGTCCTCAATCAATCCCATGGTGTGTCACAGCCCGGAGGCTCCGCATGGCGTGACCTAACTTTATTAACATTATAATGTCTTGACAGCCATGAAAACAACAGTCACCAAAGCCACATCACCATGGTTACCATTACGGCATAACTGCAATCTAACAATGATCTGAGCAGAGTTGATAAAGCTCAAATTAGAATCCACATTAAGTATATGAGTAGCAGGGTTGCTCATTTTCGGCGATGTGGTGGCACATGTGGAGGTTGATGAACTGTGACCTCCACATCATGAGGAGATAATAAAAACTGACACTAATGTAAAGTAAATTATTGGCTGTTTTCACTAGTATCTTATTTGTAGGGAGGTAGCAAATATTTGCAATGAAGAAGTTTAATTTGTGGAATATATGTTGTGTGTGTGTGTGTGTGTGTGCAGGGACCTAAATTTGTCACCTTGTAGGGACTGGTCTGACTTATGGGGGCAAAAAAGGGTCCCCATTGCATTAATCATTAAATCTACGAGTCGAGTAGTCACTGAGTTGGAGTAAGTCTCCAGGAAAACAATGCAATGTCCTCTGAGGTCACGACTGTGTGTGTGTGTGTGTGTGTGTGTGTGTGTGTGTGTGTGTG